AAACCGTACCCCGTCCAAGCGCCCGCATACCACACCCCCCTTTTGCCCTGTATCTGCTCTAGATGTTCTTGTGCAGCTACCATGCGAGAGTTGTACAGTGGGTGCCTGTACTCATATGTAGCTTGCGTGAGGGTAGGCGAGGGTGGTGTTTCCGGGTTGAGAGTAACTAGAACATCGTCATATGTGGATGTAGGGAGTTCTTGCAGGATGTTCATGTTGTAGGTGAGACAGACGGATTGGAGGTTGCCGGAGGAGTTGTCAGTGGATTCAGAAGGGGGTTGTGAGTGGGTGAGGTAATTCCAGGCGGACCACGCTTCGCGGCGCTTGGGCATGAGCTGGTGCTCGTTAGATTGTGTTTCAAAGGAAATGTTGCCAAAGGACTACTTACGGAGAGATCGGAATGGAGGTATGCCATATTCGGCGTGGTTTCAAATGCGCTCAGAATGTCTCTCTCTTCGAGCGTCGCTGCATCGCCCACGATCGACCGTGCCTGATCTCCGTGGCAGGCCAGCACAACTTCATCGAAGACTTCCGTTTCCCCTTCCCCCTTTCCGCCTAGCACTAGCTCAACACGCCCACCCACTCTTTTCAATGACTCTACCGGTGTGCTCGATTTGATATTTGCTCCCGTGCACTCTTTCAGCACAGCATCGATGTACTTCTTGGAGCCTCCCTCAATCGTCAACCAAGGTGGCCTCTCTGCCACCGTGGACAGCAAATGATGGTTCCACATGAACCTCACGAGCGTCAGCGCCGGAAACTCCAACGCACATTTATCCGGGCCCGTACTCCACACGCACGCCGTCATGGGAATAAGGTAGTCGTCCCGAAACGCATCAGAATACCCTTCCCTTTCCAGATACTGTCCAATCGTGAGCTCATTCGAAGGCGCCGCAGGACTAGACAGCAGATCCAATGAGAACATGTTGAAGCGCACGATATCGAAGATCATGCGCCAGAACGAAGGCCGCAGCGCGTTACCCCTCTGCGCGAACAACGCGCCCAGCGACGTCCCCGACCACTCGAATGCACCATTGTCGCGCGAAACGCCAAAGGTCATCTGCGAGGCGATTGTTTTTACGCCCAACTCTTTAAGGAACGCGATGAAGTTGGGATATGTGGCGACGTTGAGGACGATGAAGCCTGTGTCTACGGGCGTAGTGTGCGCGGGGTTGAGTGGCGACGTCCATGTCGCTGTATTGGTGTGGCCGCCTAGTCGGTCTGCCTTTTCGAAGAGCGTAATGTCGTGGGGTGTGTTGCGCAGTGTCCAGAGGGTGGAGAGGGCGGAAATGCCGCTGCCGATTATGGCTATGCGCTTGTGTTCCATCTCTTAAGTCGTCTGGGTTTCCTTCGTCGTGCTGCTCGAAAGATGATCACGTTAGTTGGTAGGTAGAGCTAGAGTAAGGATCGCCTCTTAGAATGTCGAGCTAAAAGTTTGTAAACACGGTTTTCGATTTGAGCTGGGTGGGCAAAGTGTTGAGGTCATTGATTTCTGAATCGAGCGTCGTTTCATCTTGGAACTGCTCGGGCTTCTCCATTTTGACAGTGATGCTGTAGGTGGCTTTTATATACAGCAAACGTGTGCATTCCGTGGAGAGACTGCAATAGCTAGCTCTATTTGAAATTGAAGAGTTCATTTGTTTAACATGGGGAGGGTCCAGATTGTCTTTCTTCTACAAAAGCTACGCTAGTTTGATTCTGGTGCACCGGCATCTTTTAGACAAACACAAAACCATAGCGGGGTGTGAGCGCATATCAGACGTACTCATCTCGCGATCGATGGAAGGCATTTCGACGTCAGTTCCTTCCAGGGAGTCGTGCGCAAGGATTCTGTGATCTAGAACAATGCGGAACTACGGAGCGTTCGTTGCTATCTGGAAGCTGAACCGGTTCGAGTTGAGCTGTTTGACACTGTCGAGTCCATCGAGCTAGATACAACTCACGATAGATTCTCGTGAATGGGTTGCAGGGCACCTGGTGCTCACATGCGGTGCCTAGGTGGGCCTAGATGATCACGTGATGTCTCAAGGGTCCCTTGGCATTACGCAGCGCAGCTCGTCCACCCTCCAGGCGCAACTCCCCAACTTACAGTTCCGCCTCAAACCGCTCTTCGACCCCATTAGCACGGTTCTTGCATCAGAAATACCTCGCGACCGATAAACGACCCGTCTACAACCCAAAATCGACTGCAAACATGTCCCTCGTCGACGCCGATGCAGGCACGGAGCGCTTCAGCGGCTACGAGGCTGACTTGAAGCTCGTGCAAGCCGACCTGAACCAGCAGATAGAAGTGATCAAGGAGTCGACCGGCGAGCCGCGGAAAGCGGCGATCAGCAAGGCGGAGCGGGCGCTTGAGGAGGCAGAAGAGCTGGTACGTTGTGCCTGCTACCGGGGCATGCGACAAGCGACAGGTGGCATCTAACACTGTACACAGATCGACCAGATGCGCCTTGAGAAGTCCAACATCCCCGCGAACCTCAAGTCTAAATCCAACGCCCGCTTCCGCAATCTCGAGCACGACTTGGATGAGGCCAAGCGAAAGGTCCAGTCCTACTCTAGCGATCGCAGCAAGCTCTTCGGCGACCGTTACACCGACAACCCCGACACAGATGCACAGCTCGAGCAGCGCCAACAGTTGCTCTCGGGAACTGATAGGCTGCAGCGTTCATCCGGCAGACTTACGGCGGCGCAACGCATGGCGCTGGAGACCGAGGAAATTGGCGCGGGTACGCTAAGTGACTTGTCAAGGCAGAGGGAGCAAATCGTCAACACAAGAGAACGGCTGTTGGAGAGTGAGGGCTACACCGACCGTAGTATCAAGACTTTAAAGGGCATGGCGAGGAGGTACGTATCTCCCTCCACATACAACAGAGCCGCGCGTGTTGATGCGGAGTGCTTAGGATGTGGTTCCCCATCTGACTTGAATGCTAACGAGATTGTGATTTCAGAATGGCAACGAACAGGATTATCACCATTGCGATCATTACTGTACTTGTTCTTCTTATCATTGCGGTCATTTACAGCAAGTTCCGTTGAGCGACTAGGTTGTATGTCAGGAGTTATTGGCGTTTGAGCAATCGATTGTTCGAGGTACACCCCCGTAGGAGATTAGGGCCGGTAGGAAACGTGGGCTTGCCTTCATGTTACGATATCGCAACATTGGATAGTTGAAACTATTCGATCCTTGTAAACTCGATCAGGACCTTGTGCCATCTTCATACTAGCTCATTACAGACATCGCTGATGTGTTTTATCTAAGGTGTAAACGAATGTACGCTCCTGATTCGCAGCTCGTAACACCCGGGTTTAATTGATTAACTCCGCGCGCGACTGCGGCGCGGCTGGACATACTACGCAATGGCATGCCGTCCACAAAGCTGACTGTTTTCACGCACGCAACTCAACCCGACAATCAAGACTCCCTCACCAGATAAACAAACATGTCGTGCCCAGATTGCTTCCGCGGCGGCGTCGTCACCGGGGACCCCAAAGGCACGATCGAAACGCTCTACGGCGTCCCTACCTATGTCGCCAGTCCCCAGGATACTTTCTCGTCTCTTTCAACGATCGTGTATTTCACCGATGCTTTTGGCCTCGACCTCGTCAACAACAAAGTCCTCGCCGACGCATACGCCTCCGCGACTGGCGTCCGTGTCCTGGTCCCTGATATCATTCCCGGAGGCCCGGTGCCAGTCTGGCTTCTAGATACCATGGAAACAGTGATGGGTTCTGTCAGCCTGTTCGACGTATCCGGTCAGGTCAAGAGGTTCCTGAGTTTGTGTAGCATGATATGGCAGTTCGTGCCGTTCCTGTACCGCGCCAGACCCACTCTCCCCACGGCGTTCAACGCCTGCCTCGATTACGCGCGCAAAGTGAAAGCGGACCTCCCCGCTGGGGGCAAGTTGGGACTTGCGGGCTTCTGCTGGGGCGGCTACCCCACTGTCAACCTCTGCGCGCAGGCCGCTAGGGAAGGTGGAGACGAACGCCTTGTCGACGCAGCGTTCGCTGCACACCCGTCGGCTCTGAGCGCGCCGGATAATATCGTTGATGCCGTATTGAAGTTCAAGTCGCCGCTTTCCATTGCGCATGCGGAGAATGACTTCAACTTGAAGACCCCCGCGGTAGAGGAAGCGGAGGCTACGCTGAGGCAGAAAGCTGGGGAGGGGGAGGGAGAGGATGGGTACAACTATCAGTTCAAGACGTATAAGGGTGTGGATCACGGTTTTGCGGTGAGGGCGAAACCTGGAGATGAGGCGGCAGCGAGGGCAGCGGATGAGGCCAAGGAGCAGGCGATTCAGTGGTTCAAGAAGTTCCTTTGAGTTTGTCTGTCGGGTTGTCAGTTATGAGTTTCTCTTTCCAATGTTACATGCGACGGTCCACGAACGAATTTGCTATGTAAGGTCGATCCGAAGCCACTTTGGGAGTCGAAAATGAGTGAGAGGTAGAGTTTCCGTTGTGGTACTGACGCTGGGCGAGATTATCGTTCCAAGGCAGTAGTTTCATACAATCTAATGTCGCTACACTTGAGGTGCGTCTGACGTGCGAGGGCAAGTTCCTCGATGACTTCACTTCGCAAGTGAGCTTAACAATAACACAACATGAACCAAACAAGGGGCGATATAAGTACTACTCGTCCCAGCTAAGTTTTGCGGAGAAGTCGTGTTACTTTTAGAGGGAGATCATGAGATCACTGTTGGGTATGAAGTCTCTTGATCTTGTGTGAGTTATGCTGGAAAGCAACTTGTACGCAGGACACGCCGCATCATCGAAGGGGCGAAAGTACGTCATGTATAGGTTGGTAAGATTGAATTCGGCTTGTCAGTTGTTGACTTCGCGAGCTTCTGCAAGCCGCGGCTGAATTCGGCTTGTAAAGGCGAGGGGGCGCGTTAGACAAAAAAACGCTCGCACACAGGCCTTGTGCTCCACCCTAAGCCCAGCCATCGCCCCTGAGGGCCACCACAACTCTCCAGAGGCCCCAGACAACGTCTGGAGGCAAAAAATGCATCGGCCGGGAATCGAACCCGGGGCTAGCCGACATCTTAATTAACCGGGCTCAATTCCCGGCCAATGCGATGGCAACGGCTAATTTTACCACTAAACCACCGATGCTATTAGTGATTTGATGTATTATTGGGCAATGTAGGAATATATATTCCAGAATTCTGGGCATAACTGAGCAAGCTCTTACGAGAAGGGCGCAAGCGGGGCTCGGAGCAGGATTTTTCGAACATGCACGGTTTAAAGTATGATGTCATGACTCAGGGCTCTAGAACGCGAACCCCGCGTTAAAATTGACATTGACTGGGGGTTATACAGATGAATGGCAACGGCTAATTTTACGTCTAAACCACCGATGCGGTTTTCACTTTATAAAAGTCATGTTAGATATAGAAATAAATATGGTAGAAAACTACTTCTTGACCGTAATTCACAGGTTACCGGGTTTTAAAATTCAAAAACGACTTCTCTTATGATACTATAGCAGGCTTCGCCTACGAGTGTGAGCGAAAATTAGGCCCGGTTGGTCGCTTATAACATAGAACAATGTGTTACTAAGCATCACTTTTCCGATTTGACATGACCGAATATCAACCCGCTAACGTGCATGAGCTCGCAGATGGTCTCGTGTTTTTGCAAGTAGGATTGGCACTGGAAAGCCTACGCCTGACTATTCTTATAAACCCTGCACGAGCTGAGAGCGCGTGCGAGAATCTCAGGTCCTTGGATTTCGGGCCACGGTGTACTGCCATAAAGACGAATGCACGTGTGGCTTATAATTATTTAGGGGATATCAGGAGAAAATAGAGAAACATAATAGAGTGTCAGTCACTCGTTTGCTTTCTTGAGCAATGCTACAAGCCAAAACAATATACGTGTACCCAATGCGTCTTTCCTTACCACACGTTATCATATGGAGACGGCTCCACCATTAGTGAAATCGGATTTCTGATCTTGTCCCTTAGCTTTTCGAATGATTTGCCGTAGTCATTCTTTCTCCATAATTTCCTGCCCACGGTTTCCGCTTCACTTGCATCGAGCCCAATTCCAAGATTGCAATCTGTAGGATCAGCAAAGACAAGTTCACGGCGATGAACATCCTTCTAAAGTGCAGCACTGAGCATGGACCACACCAGTCTACTATCATTTCCTAACGTTGGACTGAACAGATAAGCATTTTACTACTCAATATGCGCATGCACGAATCGGAGACGTACTGCGAGGCAGGTGGACTGCTTGAGTAAGGAAAGGGTGGACCGGGTGTGGCCAGGCAGGAATGGACAGGGCTCACCTGCATCTAGAGGATCATCTTTTCACCTGGATGTTCGTCTACAAACATCTTTTTGAGAATATTCCCAATGTTCCTCCAACACGCCCATCTCTTCGAACGATCCTTCCTCGAGTTCGGCTGCATCGTGACAAGCGATCAAAGAGAGGATCATGACCCGGGAGCAGCCGAGATATTCCATAGGGCTACGCCCTAAGCCACACAAATCACGCCCAATAGTACCGGATTATCAATAGTCTAGCATTAGTTATAGTGGGAAGTGTAAGATGGTAATCCTTTCTACGAGGACCCAGGCGTCCTGTTCCAGGATCGAGCGGTTCGTGGATATATAGCTTCTTATTTTGCTCTTCAGATATTACAGGCATAACTGATTTACATGTATGCTAGAGCTTTTAGGGTCACTGAACTGGAGACGCAGACTTCGGCATCAACACAACCAAATCGACGCCCTTAAAGACCTCTTAGCTTGTAACGTGAGCTCCTCTCTTGTTAAGTTCTTGGACTCTCTAGATGCGGAGGAGTTCCTGAACAGAGTGAGACAGTTAATCAAAGTTGTTTTCGGGTAACTATCACAGAGAAAATTTGCTACAAGTTGACTTGTAAAGTATAGCGTCGAATTTGTGTATCTACTATATAAATATTAGAATAAAGCTAATAGCAATCCTATGAGTAGTTTGAATAGTTGTAGTTCAAGACCGTTCAAGGAGTCTGAAGGTCGGGGCGATTCCCACTTCCTGCGACGATTGACGAGAGTTAGATAATGTGCCCCGCTCTGCTCGCGACGCCTCGCCTTTGATTGGCTTCGTATTTACCACGATTGGAAGTTGGTAAATCAGCCTGTTTGTTCTCACCGGATTTATCTTATCGATACTAGGTAGTTGCATGAGCCCAAGTGCTCGCTCAGCCTACCGTTCCTACCGTAGAGTTATTCTATCGCTTGGCGTCTCGCCTTGTGGCCGAAGTAGAATGAAGCGAATATTTCCAGTTGGTCTACTTTTGAAATAAAAAGGCTGCTAACCCTCAGTGCTGATAGTTATTGTTATTTGACTTGCTCGGTAATTTGATTCGGTGTATGGCTGGGTACGAGACGTTAGGCTCCATGATGGGGGCTCACCCAGAAGTCGCTGTTATCCGCCGATTCGGTTCACTCAACGCGCGGAACATCCTGTACCTTCAAGCAGAGCTGACGGCACTGGAGCTGAAGCTCAAGAAGTGCGCCGAGGCTGACATGGATTCGGGGCATCAAGACCGTACGATTTATGACCGGGACTGGCAAACTCTGAGTGAGTCTCTACATTCTGAGGATGGTAGTCCGGAGCAATGGAAGACCATCTTGAGTATTCGTACGTTGCTCAAAGAATACAGTGAGCGATTCCTACGCAAACCATATCTTACGATTTACTAATTACTATTTTGTGCAGACGAAGCCATTGTGTTGCAGAATCTTGTTATGAAACTCAAAGCTCCAAACGCCAAGGACCTCCAATTTCTCCAGACTTGGATGCAGACCCCTTCCATGGGCAACGTCTATCTTCTTGGCTCAGACAGTGATATTTGGGAGAAACCAGACCCTTACGACCTTATCTGTCTGAAGCGTAGAGAGAACCATAGCCCGATATCGCGCTTTTTGAGCGGTTTCATCGTCAATTGGTACCACTGGTTGTTGGGTCGCTATTTGCGCGTCAGTATCACCTGCAGAGCCAAATGTTCAGCGCTTGCTCACGTCATTCCAGAAACCAGATGGTACCTCTTTGCACGCGAACACTGTGCATTACTCCCAAGATACCCTGCTATATCTTAGCACCTTGATTGGTACCGTCTTCGCCTCGATTCTTCCTGTCGTCTCAACGATAGTGCTTTACTATGTGAGAAGTATGACTTCGCGCCTTGCTCTTGTAGGTGTATTCACGGGCATGTTCTCCGCCGCCTTGGGGATCTTTACGAATGGGCGTACTATCGAGATATTTTCAGCAACTGCAGCGTGAGTTCCGCCAGCCCGTATCGAACCAGATAGACTTCCTGACTTGGCCATAGATTTGCTGCTGTTCAGGTCGTATTCGTGGGAACCACTACGAGCAGCTCCACTATTTGACAGATTGCCGATTCATCTCGAATCGAAGTGCGATTCGAAATGTTGGTCTTATATTCCGTCAAGTTCAAGATCGCAGCGAGATCTTTCTCCAAGTCTGTCGGACCAAGCCAGGTGGATGTTTTGATTAGTATGCATATTTCTAGTCTTGAGCGTAATGTGACAGTTGTCAACTATCAATCCCTCTACGATGCGATAACTCGAACTGATGAAACATGCGTGAAACTTTGCTATCCCCCAGGGCTTATCACTGTTGAGACTGGTTTCCCTGCGCCTGTTGCTGCGCTTGTTGAGATGCTTTTGCTTGTTTCCTCTTATCAAGTGCTTCTTTCTCCGCCTTCTGGTTTTCTTTCGCATCACTAGTCGCTTTGTCATCTTCCAGTGTTTTTGTCAGTCGAATGTCAAATCCTACGTTCGGGAGAATGGACGCACCTTTTTTGATTTTATTGTGAGCGATCAGCGGTACCATTGCATCATTGATACTCATGAGTCCCGCCCTCTCGATGTAGTCAATGCCAATCAAAAGATCGAATTGATCAATGTCGGCAAACACAAAGAATCGACAGTGATGAGACTTGTTACCACGTGGATGCTTCCTCCATGTCAATTCAATAACACCGGCTGCACGGACAGCAGTCCCATGGGCGTCCACGATCCCTGGAGACTCAAACTCTTGCGATACAGAAGAGGCCTTATCCAGGCGCTCTACGAGTTTCAAAGAAACCCAATTTCCTGTTTGACACGCAGTGTCTATTAGAGCCACAGCGGTGTGTTTATCCCCATTGTCATCAAATATTACGACATCCCAATTGGAAAGCTGGACGTGTGAGTATATGCCCTCACACAAAAGATTTGAACACTTACCTGCTCTCCACTCCCTTCCTTGGGTGACCATGCCGTCACAGCGCCTTGTAATTTGGCATGCTTGATCTCGAGCAGAGAAGCCGGGCTCCCATTGATCCATGCTTCCGCTTTCTTAGCGTCGGCCTGTCTACCTGACACATTATACAACTTCACTAACTCGTCTGCAGCTTGCTCGATGTAATCAATCGAGTCGTGATCCTGTCGATTTGGTCCCGTTTCTGGCAGAAGCGACAGCAATGTCTTCTCGGCCTCTATGTCGTTTCCACTGCGCCTCTGCGTACTACCTAGATTGACGGCGGCCCTAAGGTAGAACTGGTTCGTGATGCCCCTCGTACTTGAACATATATCGCGATTCTCTTGATATATGTTCGCCGCCTTTTTCAGGTCTCCAAACTCGCCGTAAAGTGCTCCCAGCCTGAATTGCGCGTGGATTGTCTCCAGGTTTCCGGAGCTGCCGTGTGCTTTCCTGAATCCAGCGAGCGCATGCTGATGATACTCGAGTGCTTTGTTGTACTCTTGGAGGTTTACGTAGACTGAGCCCAGCTGCAGGACCACTCCGAGTGTTCTTGGGTCCTGAGGACCCAAGGTTTGTTTGAGAATTTCCAGAAAACTTTCTCCTTTCTCCTTCGCCTCAATCCACTGTCTTTGACGCACAAACTCCGTCAATAGAAGTCCAGTGTAATCCAGCGTATTCAAATGGCTGGGTCCAAATCTCTTCTTATTGACATCCTCGCACTTCTTCCAAAGTGCCCAAGCTTCAAGATATTGCCCCATCGCTCTATAAGAGCGAGCCAGCTGGCCGCGAACTGCCGTTGTATCGTCAGCGTCATCTCCTAAGGCTTCCCGATAGGCTTGGACGCAGAACTCCAA